GGTGTAGGGCGATAGAAAATACAGTTTGTAGGGTATAAACACCATTACGCCTATGGGGAGTCCCTACAAGGATATTGCACCAGACTGTGTGTGTGTGTGTGTGAGAGAGAGAACCTGGGGTTTTCTTGGTGCAAAAACAAAATCAGGAATCACTGAAATTCAGTTTTTGCTGCTGGATAAAATCACTTTTTGAATATATATATATATATATATATATATATACACATACACTCACACATGTATTTTGTTTACATTTAAATTCTTGTGAATGCACTTATTTAACTACATCTTGTCATATAATGATCCTTTTAGTAAGTGAGTGTTCAATAACTGCTTCTGATGACATAATTCAATAGAATGATTCAACTGATAGATTTGCCGTAGATTCAGCAGCTGTGCAAGAAATGTTGCTGTGGTGTGAGTGAAAGAGTAGAGAGGGGGAAACAAATGTTTCTGTAGTGAAGTAAGGACTCGGAGACACTCGTTATTATTGAATAAAGGATTGTCAAAAGAAAGACGAAGAACAGAGGCCTCTTTGATTCTTTACATAAGTCACACTGTTTGAAGTATTGCGATTAGAAGTAAATAGGGAATGGAAGATGTTTGAAGTGCTAAATGTTTCTCTTCTACTTTGGTTAAAGGTCTGATATGAGAGTTGGCTGTGGAAGAGCTTAGATGTCTCTCTAGATTATTGTATGTCTCACAACTGTTGGATATTAATACTTAGAGGTGTCATTTTTCTTTGGACTAGACTTTTTTGCTCTTCATCTCTGCCTTACGTTTCTACTTTGTCTCTTTTTCGATCTGTCTCTGCTCTAGCCACGGTGGATGAGAGATGTTACCGTTTCTCAGACTGCACCAGCTGTACCGCCAACACTAATGGATGTCAGTGGTGTGACAGCAAGAAGTGCATCTCAGCGCTCAGTAACTGTAGTGCTGTAAGTTGGCCTGCAGAGGGCACCGGTGTTACACATCACAATTCTATGCACTAGTATACCTGTGTTTGTTGATATCTCTTTTGACTTTTTTTTTTTAACTAGACTGTGAAGAATTTCACCAAATGTCCAATCAGAAATGAGCAGATTTGCAGTAAAATGGCCAACTGCAAGAGCTGCTCCCTCAACCTCAGCTGCCAGTGGGATCCTCAACAGCAGGAATGCCACACCCTTCCTGGTAAGAACAGCAGAGGATGATAGGAGAGATATTAACATAGCACATGTGTATTGGGTAAAAAAAAGTGGTTTGAATACACTCTGAATGCATCTGCCACTTTAGATTAGATTTTATTCAATGAGCTTGCTGTAGTGCATTCTGGGTTTATATATTGGCCAAAAGAAGCTATCTCACCTTTTGGAACAGCCTTTGTGAAGGGAGTGTGCCTATGTTACCTTAAAATGTTGTCTAGACCGGAAGGTCACTCGTTTTTTAATCAGAGCCTGTGTTCGCCAGAAGCTCTTCCTTCCACTATATCTGAGCTTATTTAATTTGTTTTGTACATGAATTTGTAGGTGTCTGTGCTCTATTTAAACCTGAGATTCACAACACCTTTTGTCTTCTTTGTAAATTGTAAATTTTCTAAATGATTAAGTCTGATTGTGCTTGGCATTTTCCACTGTGGAAATTTCTTTAACTGGCCACTTTGCTTGAATTAGCTATTGGCCCTTTAAGAGCTTCACTTGGTTCTAAAGAGTAATTTTCATTATGTTAAGAGCTTCCCTGCTGTCTCTGAAGAACAGAGATGAAACGAGAAATGGAAAAAATATGAGGCTTGAGAAAAAGCTCCTAATTCCTCTAATTAAGTCATCTTATGACCTCTCTGTAGCCCAGCTGTGTGGAGACGGCTGGAGCAATGTTGGGGAGGCCTGTCTGCAGATCAACTCCAGCAGGGAGAGCTATGACAATGCTCAGCACTACTGCAAGAACCTGGAGGGAAACATCGCCTCCCTTACCACAGTAAAGCAGGTGGACTTTGTGCTGGAGGAACTGCAGAAGTACCAGCAGAAGGGGAAGGTTTGTGTCTGCTCATATTTACACTAACAGTCAGAAGTTTGGATCCACATACTCATTCTTTATTAATATTTTCCACATTTTAGAATAGTAGTAAAGTCATCAGAACTATAAAATGACACAAATGAGAGTTTGATAATTCTGTAGTGGCCAAAAATGTCAAGCAAAATAAAAGTGATCTTATATTTTAGCTTCTTCAAAGTAGTCACCCTTTGCCTAGACTACAGCTCTGCCAACTAGTTTTAAAGACGTTTTGTAAAGAAATTTGTGCATAGACACAGTCCTAGTTTGAAACATTTAACCGTAAGTCTTTAAATAAGAAGTTTTATGAGATCATGAGAAATATTAATTCAGTCAAGTGTGTCCAAACTTTTCACTAGCTTTTTCACTATCATAAAATAATATGGTTAAATATTATTATAGTGTAACAACTCTTGTCTATTTCAATATTTTAATATTTTAATTTCAAATATAATTTAGTTCTGTGATGACAAAGCATTTTTAGCAGCCATTACTCAAGTTTCAGTGTCACATGATGATCCCTCAGAAATCATTTTAATTATTATTTTGGTGCTCAAGAAACATTTCTTCTTATTGTTGAAAACAATTGTGCTTTAAAAGACTTTTAATAAAACATTCAAGTCTCCCAGTCACTGACTTTTACTAAAATTGTGTGATTTACAATCCCCTGTTGTTAAAACCGGTTTAGATAAAACCAGATCAAAAAACGGGGTTACTCATAATTGTTCAAAATTTGGATTAATTATTTAATTTTTGTTTTGCCATTTCTATCGTTTATTGTTCGCTTCTGTGTTGCTATTTATTATAGTCTGCCTGTTTCCTGAAGAAAAAAAATCCGATCTGATGTAATGAATAAAACCTTTTTTTTTTTTTGATTACCCGAAGTTTATTGGTGTTCTTCTTGTATAATTCAAATTATAAATGATATAACTAAACAAATTAATAATTAATTAGGTGAAGCTGTGCGATTTAATTTGTCATCGCATCATCCTATGCAATGTGGAGAATTAGGCCTATTATTGCTCATTATTGTCTATAGGCTATTTTAGTAATTTAAATAACATAGGTTATCTTAATATATTAGTGTTTGCACTGTCATTTTCGTGCCACTTATGTTTTAGCATAGTACATTGCTAGGCAACGTCTTTCACTCACTGAATTAGCAGTTATCAGTTTCATAAATAAAGACAAAATGAGTAAAAGAAGATTGACCGTTATGAAAAGTGACTAGTGTAGCCTGCATAAAAAAGCCTTGAAAATAAAACAACAGGACAAAAATATAGTTGATGACTAGACAATAATTTCATGACTCTAGACACTTCTTTATGAAGACAGTAGCATAATACAGTGAAATAATATGTTCTTTAGCCATTCAAAAACAGCTGTCATGTGCGTGGGTAAAATTTACCCGCTGATACTTTTAGGTATACAGTGACCCCTGGCGGTTCTAGTGTTAAAACAAATTGAATGGCCGTGTATACTCGGATTCAAATAATCATGATTGATGCACCCTCTGTTCAAAATTAGTTTAGTCCCTAATTTTGTTCCTGTGTCTCATTACGTTTGTTCTGCAGAAACTGTCCCCCTGGGTTGGCCTGAGGAAGATCAACGTGTCATACTGGGGCTGGGAGGACATGTCTTCATTCACTAACACCTCACTGCAGTGGCTACCCAGTGAGCCCAATGATTCAGGCTTCTGTGCTTACCTGGAGAGAGCTCAGGTCTCTGGCCTCAGGGCGAATCCCTGCACCGCCAACACAGACGGCCTCATCTGTGAGAAACCAGTTGGTGAGTCTCTGATTCATTCTTCTATTCCCTTTTATTCTTAAAGAAAGCCTGGAAATAAGCCAATAAGATACATAACCATTCTCTTTTCAGTAACTTCATACATATTTCCTCCCTTGCAGTGAGCCCGAACCAGAACGCCCGCCCGTGTAAGACGCCCTGCTCTCTGCGCACCTCTTGTGAGAACTGCACCAGCCAGGCCATGGAGTGCATGTGGTGTGGAAGCACCAAACGCTGCGTGGACTCCAATGCCTACGTCATCTCCTTTCCCTACGGCCAGTGTCTGGAGTGGCAGACAGGAGACTGCATGTGTGAGTGTCCTCATTTACATATAGTGGCCATCACTGCTTATAAGCTGCCCCAGAGAGAATCTGTGGTCTTTTTTCCATTTTCAGCACTGATTTTGAGGGGGAAAAAAGGAAGTGAATGTGTAACACAGTAAAATGTGTTAAACGGAGCTGAGAGTACCACACTATTATTGGTAGCATTATCATATTATATGAAATATTTACTAAATTGAAGTGGTGGAGAATGTGTAGAACTTGGTAACTTTGTACCGTTCAGAAGCTTGATGTCTGAACTTTTTTTTGTTTTTTTTTAAAGAAATGAATACATTTACTCAGCAAGGATGCAATAAATGGAGCAAGGATGACATTAAAGACATTTATAATGTTACAAAAGATTTCTGTTTCAAATAAAAGCCATTATTTTGACCTTTTTTATTCATTAAAGGATCCTGAAAAAAAAGAGTGAAAAAGGAGTTTTCAGAAACATATTAGGCACCACAACTGTTTTCAACAAAAAAACATGTTTCTTGAGCACCAAATCTGCAAAATAAAATGGTTTCTGAAGGGTCATGTGACACTAAAGACTGGAGTAATGGCTGCTGAAAAATTCAGTTTGGTCATCACATGAATAAATTTAATTTTAAAATTTATTAAAATAGAAAACTTATTTTAAATTGTAATAATATTTCACAATTTTGCTGTTTTACTGTATTTTTAAGCAAATTAATGCAGCCTTGGTGACAACAAGAGAGTTCTTTCAAAAACATTAAGAAAGTCTTACTGACCCCAAACATTTTAAGTTTCGGTAGTGTATATTTATGAATATTTATATGTAGAATTTTTAAAAAGGATTCATTGTTATTTTCCTTTATAGGAATACTTTTGGACCTTGGAAATGATTGTACATATAGTGGTGAGACATTTTGTTCATTGAAATGAAACCTTGAATAACAAGAGATGTTTTCTCAAGAAACCCCTTAGCCTCGTTTCTTGGAAGGGTTTCAGCACGAGTATACCCAGTGATGAGAAATTTGCTCTGTGGAGCCTTTCAGAGAAAGATACAACCAATCAGTGCCTGTCAGCGGCCTGGGTGGTGTGGGTTCTTCATCTCTATCAGATCTGTTGTTTCATCCCATTAGCTGAACTGCTTGGCCTCTGATCCGCCTGTAATGTGCAATTAGTGTTCCAATTTGTCTGCCTAAGCATTCGCTCTTCAAGAATGGGTTTTTATGGCACACGTCGGAACGCTAAGTGATAAAAACTTTGAGAAAACTACATAATTTGGCATAAACGTTCCTCAGGGAATATTAAATAAGAGGCCTTGACATCCCTCAAATACCTTAATGTTCCTGATTTTTCACTTTGCTTGGTGTGTAGTTCACATTTACATTCAGTGTGTTTGAAATGCAACTTGTTTGCTGACTATTTATTTGTTACACAGCTGTGTGCATATCCTGCGTTATGCCATCTTTGTCCTCCAGACTAAAGGCTTCCAAGTGCTCATAATATCTTATTTCACCCTATCAGACAGTGAGGTAAGCATACAGGGGACACACGGACACTCTCCGACTGTAGTCTGTTTTTATGACCGGCCTAGACTTACTGATAGAACTTCCATTATGCTCAGTCTGATGGAAAATGAATTAAAAGCTCTCCGCCAGAAGGAGGTGGTACGATTCTACACATCTGTCTGGCTCAGGAATCCTTTTTGTCGCCAAAATGTATCTTTCTGTCCGAGTGATGGTTACTTAACGTTTCAACTGCTCCACCATAAGCCTCGGCCTGTGTCGGTACCATTTTAAAGATCTATTTCTGCTTCTGCTAGGTTTTTTTCCCCCTCTGTTTTTCTTCTTTTTCTCTTAAGGGGCTTTGTCTCTGTCAGAGCATGGCTGGATGAGTTTGATTCACACTTGTGAAGGTGTGCGGTTTTTTTTAGGTGGCAGTGATTTGTACTGGCATGTGGGGAGCTTGTCTGATAAATTCGATCTTAAATCTGGCGGCTGATTTATGTCTGTGAACACACGTGGGCCTTCACTATTTTTAATCAGAAGAAATGTATTTTTATTCCCAGAGTTGTCTCATCTGTTTTCCATGCCTAACCCGTCTAGACATCTCCTCACCCCTAAACAAATGATTTTTATTGCATGCCGAATCAAATCATATGGTGCTGTTGAGAATCTGTCAGCTCCTGCAGCTGAGAATCCATGAACTCCTGCCAGCATAATGACTAACATTGTGCTTTTTCACTGTTATTGCTGACATCATGTTGACCCTGAACACACTTTGTCTGTAAAGCTTATTGTTGTGAGGACTGAGATCCTAAGAGATGTGATTTGGCTGCCGGAGAGGTGGATCAAACCGAAAGAGGCTGACGCATATGGCTCTGATGTGCTTTTTGGGAGAGTGGACTTTCTGGTGGTATTTGAGAGCATATTACTCAGTCAGTGGAGTGATATGCCCCATGAGAGCTTGAAAGTATCATTTTAAGCGTGTCTTTGTTGTTTCTCATTGTTTATTTCTCAGAATCTGCTGGCTTTTTTCTCTTCGGCCTATCATCTCTCTCTTTTCTGTCATTGCAGCTCAGAACTGCTCTGGTTTGCGTACATGCGGTCTGTGTCTGGAGCAGCCTGACTGCGGCTGGTGTGGGGACCCTAGTAACACCGGCCGAGGGCAGTGCATGGAGGGTTCATATCGCGGACCCATGAAGAGCCCCTCCAGACACCGTCAAGACATGGTGCTGGAGACGGGGCTCTGCCCAAAAGAACGGGGCTTTGAGTGGGCCTTCATCCAGTGCCCTGGTGAGAACCACCCACGTTCAGACAATCACATGCACACTTGACCTTTAAAGAGCAAATTTGTTACACCGGGGTTTTTTTTAACTGCTGGCCGGGGACCCCCTGGAGGCACAAAGAGGTGCAAGGTGATCTGAAAAAAAAAAAACTGATGGGAAAATATTGTATTTTAAGGGCTTTAATAGTTAACATATATATTTAAGAAATTAATTAATTATATTTAGTGTGACAGTAAATGATAAGTGATAAATTTACTGTTTTAAGACTGATCAGAAGTAGTGAGAATAATTGTGATAATTGTGATTTATTGACAGCCGTAGTTTTTAACAGTAATAAAAAACAAACACACACACACACACACATATATATATATATATATATA